TTGAATATTTTTTGAAAGAACCCCGCTTTTTTTTTTTTTTTCCCTTTTTTTTTTTTTTTTTTAAAAGGGTTATTGAATGTAAGGGAACCTGGTGCCTTCTCTTTGGTGAGGCCTGGGACACTGTTTCTAAGCAAAAAAGCAAGCTTTTACGTGCGAGTGGAGGGATGGAGCAGGAGGCTCCACGATAACATCTTGAACAAAAACACCTGTATGCGAAGGTGCAGCAGGACTTCCAGGTGGATGGATGGATGGATGGATGGATGGTCCTATGGCCTTGTCAAGCTGGTGTCTTGTTGCCTTAGAGCTCGCGTAGGGGATCCCGCACCGAAACAGCCCGATGCTTCGGGGTCCCCCGAGGCTCCTGCTCTCGCGTTCCCTCGGCTGCTGCTGGCCTCGTCGGCCCCGGCTGGCACTGCAGTTGCAGCTGCAAGAACAGCACTTGAGCACAAGCCCTGGTTTTGAGTCTTCTACCTTCTAATTAGATTTTTTTTCTTATTCCTTTCACAGTTTCTGCTGCTTAGACTTGTATCGCTTCTCTTTGGTCACCTTTCAAATTGCTCTTGAGCAGAACTTAATGCAAAGGGAAACTCTTGGTATTTTGTCAATGAATTTATAGGTGAGGAGGGGTTTAGATTCCTCAGGATCTGCTCAATTTTGGCTTACCGGGAAAGTCATGTAAGATTTTTACACAGCCCATTTTTTTATTATCATTTGATTCATTCTGCTTCCCATTTCTCATTCACATAGTGCATACATGTCACCAGGTGGATGGTAAATAGACAAAAACAGGTAAGCGATCACAAGTCAGTTATTCAAGTTTTAGCTTTTTCGAGGGGAAATAACCAAGTTAGTTAATGGCACCGTGGCAGTTTTGGAGAGGGAAATCTGCAGCCCTTCACCTTATTTTGGGGGCAGTTGCGGTGTCCTGGAAAGCAGCCGCAGCAGCCGCGTGAATCGCCTTGCACCGGGGTGTTCTGAGCCCTGCATCGTCCTCGTGTCCTTTCTGCTGAAGAACCACTGTTTTTTATTTTTTTCCCCCAAATAAGACGTACGTTGTTAGTGCAAACATTCTGCCCATCAGAAAGTTACTGTTGGGATTTCATCTTTTGTGAAAATGAGCCCCGTTAGCACATAGCTCTCTATTGCTTAACGTCCGGAAGGCAGCAGAACGCTAAAACCCTGAGCTGTCTATATAACAAAATGTTATATTTAATTTTAAACTTTTTTTTGGCAAGTAAATAACCCTTGCTTAAAACAAATCATAAAATTAATTGGGCACAAGATACCCTATGCAGATTAGCAGTTCTCTTACCATAGGAGCTTAGAAAAACAAGCAAAACGGGAACTTCGAAGTTCTGTTATACATCGGTACAGAATGTTCCATGGCATTTCACTGTCCACAAAA